CCCCAAAACCCCAAAACCCCAAAACCCCAAAACCCCAAAACCCCAAAACCCCTATATTTAAGCTCCGTGTTGGAATTAGGATTAATTATTGATGAAAGCGAAAGAGATTAAAATAAGTATACAGGTGAGACTAGTTTAGGGAGTTTTGAGTGGAAATTTGGGAGGCGTGTTACCAATTTTTGTAGAGGAATAGTCACTTCGTGGCTGATATAGTCAGACCTACAACACCAAGAGGCCTGCGATACGATCACAAAAAGCTGTTTCACCAAGCAAAAGACAAAAGAAAAGCTAGTAATCTTAAGAGACCTAGGCTAGGCTCAGACACTACTCACCATGACTCCCACAGAGATTACAATGCGAAGATCAGAGATGTCTTCTGTTCTATCAGAAAGCTACTTAGCGAGAAGAGATCTAAGAAGGCTAAGGAGGCTCACCACTGGGAAGTTTTAGAGACTCCTGAGAACTCCCCCCAAAATCTTGATGAAAAGGAGCTACCTAAACTCTTAGATGTCTTGGAGAAGCAAAGAGCCTTAGGAGTTAAGCCAGCGATGAAGGTGGAATTCAAGCCTAATGTTGGCATCTTTGAAGCGTGCTCTAAGAGATCAGCGTCTCAGGGAAACGAAGCAAAGGGTAAAAGAAGAACCCTTGTTCGCGACAAAAGATCTCTTGAAAAAACTTCAGATTCCTTGAAGGTAAATTATGATGAAAATTCTTCGCATCCTTCAAGTGAAGAAATGTTGATTCGTGGAACAGAAAATATTCTCAGAAACCAGTATGAGAGATACAATGACAAGAGGAACAACTTTAACACATGCCAAAGGATGAATGACATCATTCATAACCAGAAGGGTCATCGTGCTCACCTCCATAATTGCCATGACAAGGAAATCATAGAGTACGAAGACCAGACAAGGAAGGAAGAGGTTGACTTTCTTAGTCCTGAACACAAGAGGATCTCTCTTTTCCATCTGGAGAACTACTCCCCAGAGAAAAAGTATAGACTCAGTAGACAGCTTAAGAGCAGGTTAATTCATAAGAGGCCGAAGATCTTTGGACTTGATGGTCAAAATGCCAAAAAGTCTAGATCCAATAACAAGGATGATAGTAGAAATAAGAGAGTCCTTCATGCTGGTGATCCCCTAATGTATCATCGAATCGAAGGAAACTTGTCTGAATTTTATACCGACTTCGAGAAGCAGATGGAGAAAAAGGAAGCTCAAGCTCAAGGAAGTCCTTATACTCCTTTCTGCACTCCGGTAAGACCTGTAAAGAGAAAGTCAGCAGCTCTCCCTTGTGTTTATCATAATGACTACATTGACGTTTGCACCAAAGTGGCCAAGCATGACTTGGTCAACGCGGTGTGGGTTGATAACGTCCAAGGGCACGATTTTAAAAGTGCCCAAAAGAAAGCCTAACCTTTGGTGAACCCAAGGTTAGCCCAATTACATCATTTTTCAGAAGTATAATTTCAATCTAAATCCAGACTGCAGGGGTTTTGGGGTTTTGGGGTTTTGGGGTTTTGGGGTTTTGGGGTTTTGGGGTTTTGGG